TGACTGTCATCCTACACCAGGGCTCTGCAACCTTTTGGACCTAAAGAGCCATTTTGCTCCTTTTTCCCAAAAAATGTTTTGTCTGGAGCCGCAAAACATATTTCATAGCTTATAAAGTTGTATTTATAGTTATATCAGACAAAAACTACAGTTGTTTTGCATTTATTAGGCTATTTATTACATTATATAAAACTGTTAATCNAACGTGAAGACTGAAGTTACTTTATTATATTATATTTTATTATAATGAGAAACTATATCAAAGTTAGTTTCACATAATCGGAAACATTTAGTTATTTATTTGAGATACTTAGTAGTTCTTTTAGTACACTAAGGTATCTCGAAGAAAGTTACTTATTGTTTTTAGATACTTTCAACAACTTGAGTTTGTTTGACCTCCTCCTAACATGATGTGGTTCACACACACATGTGGGAAGTGTGCTATGGAAGCTAAACTCTGCCAACGTGAAGACTGAAGTTACTTTATTATATTATATTTTATTATAATGAGAAACTATATCAAAGTTAGTTTCACATAATTGGAAACATTGAGTTAATTATTGGAGATTCTTAGTAGTTGTTTTAATACACTAAGTTGTTCCTAAGAAGGTTTCATATTATTTTGCGATACTTACTGTTTTTGGATACTTTCAACAACTTGAGAATTTTTTTGGAGGAAGTTTGTCATTATTTATAATTAATTAAGTCAATATTTAAGTCATTAATTGGAAACTTTTCTTATAAATTGGAGATGAAGTCATGATTTTTTAGGAACTTTCTCATTTTGCAATAATTTTGTCATTATTTTGAGTTTGTTTTATCCCCCCCTGACATGATGTGGTTCACACACATGTGGGAAGTGTTTCTATGGAAGCTAAACTCTGCCAATGTGAGGACTGAAGTCACAATGATGAGAAACTTTATACAAGTTAGTATCACATAAATGAAAAACATAGTTATCATTGGAGATACTTAGTTGTTATATTAATACACTAAGGTATCTCGAGGAAAATGTCATATTGACTTGTAATACTTCAATCATCTGTCATTACTTTTGATGTATTAAGTCAATATTTAAGTTATTCATTGGAAAACTTTTTTTATACATTGGAGATGAAGTCCAGATTTTTTGAAGTTATGTTAAGTTCCTCATTTTTCAATACTTAGTCATTATTTTGGGAGTTATTGTTATTATTTTTGAGGTTCACACACACATGTGGGAAGTGTGAGGACTGACGTCCGGGTGATTTTTTACAAGTTAGTATCACATCATTGAAGAAACCTAGTAAATTATTGGAGATACACTATTTGAATACACTAATGTATCTTGAATAAAGTTTCATATTATTTAGCAATACTTATTGTTTTTAGATACTTGGTCAATAATTTGAGAAAGTAGGTAATTATTTAGAGAAAGTTTGTCATTATTTTTGACGTTTTAAGTCAATATTTAAGTCATTAGTTGGAAAACTTTTCTTGTTAATTGGAGATTAAGTCATGATTTTAAGGAAGTTTCTCTTTTTGCAATACTTAGTCATTATTTTGGGAGTTATTGTTATTATTTTGAGGAACTAACTCAAGATACTAAGCCACCAAAGCTACGCTGGAGGAATGCTGGCAGGAACATGTGGTTCACACACACATGTGGGAAGTGTTGCTATGGAAGCAGGACTCTGCCAGTGTGAGGACTGACGTCACCATGAGGAGAGACTTTATGACATGTATGAGTTATAATCCCAAAATGCAATACTACGTTAGTATTTGAGATGCCAAGTAGTTATTTTTGACATAGCCTACTAATGCAGTCCCGATTGTTCAAGGTACTTAGTCATTATTTGAGATGGTAAGTCATTATTTAGAGAATATTCTCGTCATTTTTAGCCCCAAAAGTCATAATATGGACCCTTTAAAGGGGACCTATCATGCAAAATGCACTTTTTGATGTCTTTTATACATAAATATGTGTCCCCGGTGTGTTGGGGAACTAACGCAGCGTCAGAAAATAAAACCCTCTCTCTTTTCCTCCGTACGAAAATCTTTTAAAAACGGGGGCACAACGAGCGGATACAGATTTGCTGCCGATATGACGTCAAATCGGCAGCGGACCAACAGACAGTTGCTATCAGAAACAATGCCTGACGTGTTTTGGACGTAATCTCGTCTTTGTTTACATTAGCAAGCCTCGCTAACACTCAGAGCTAACCTGTACTGTAGAGCACATGTGTTTTAAAAAGCAGGAAATAAAAAAAGGAACTCACCTTGTGATAAACCTGCAAGAGAAAAAGCATTTGAGCTCCATACTGTTTCAGAAATAATCCTTGATGTGGTTTAGAACAGGATGGCGTTTTATCACAGCAGAATTTAACTTTATCTCCGGTAGAATTCTGATCAGGCATTAGCTCCGCCTCCTCTTTTTTTTTTTAAATCCGCGATTCTCTAACAGGGCTGCAAAAGAGGGGTATGAGCAGTATGAGGCATGGCTACAATGGGTGATCTGTTTGGTATTTTAAGCAAAAAACTTCACAGACATGTTTTGTATAGGTATGGCCCTACAATATATTTTTCAATATAGCATGATAGGTCCACTTTAACATTATACTGCCGTTTGGCACCAGTGCAGTATGAAAATGTGTTGCAAGAATACAAAAATGTGTCTCTTTATTTTGAAAGTGTACAGGAATATTTTTCATGTAACTGGCCACTTAATGGGTTTCCTATTCCCAGCGTTCCAACTTTATGTACCATTCTATTAAAACAGACAAACTTTAACCCTCATCTCCTCTCCTCAACACTTTGACTGTTTCTAGTCATGTCCGTTTGAAGCTGGTTCAAGTTGGAAGGTTAAAAGTTATAGCTGAAGATGACATCCTGCCCTGCACTGTTTTTACGTCGTTCTGTTTAGGTTTTTTCTGCTGTTTCCTCTGAGGTCAGGATGAGATTAAAGAGAGTGTTTGAATGTTTTGTTGATCATGTGAGATTACCAGAAAGAGTTTAAAGTAAATTGTGGTAGTTTTAAGTGGTTGTATCGGGTACTTCTCACTGTCTGTGTAGTTGATGCCGTTTGGTAGGAACAGACAGGAGGTATATTGGATGTTAAAAAATCCGATTGATATTTAGGAATTTCAACAAGCTTTCCTTGTAGCTCAGCTTTCTCTACTGACAAGGATATTTCGCGATCTTGAGGATTATGTTGGTTTTTGTGTTGGCGTGTACTCGGTCTAACCATGTCGCTGGATGTTAATAGGAAGGGCAGAGTCATTCGTAGCACTGGTACGCAGTACAGTTTCTATGAGTGGATTCTAGCGTTACTGAAGCCAGTGAGGGAGCTGGTAGGAGCGGCTGGTGTGGGAGATTCTGGGAAGTTGAGACCGCGAGTCGCTGCTTCTGGGAATGAGCGCAGGGTCGGATGGCACATTTGCACAGGGGTGCATATGGTAGCAGGTACGCGATATGCGCACAGCACAATTCCTGAAATGCCGCTACCGCCCTTGATTGAACAGGATTTGCCGTACCGACGTAACTTGTGAGCTTTTCCAGAGCGGTTAGATCACCGGACGACAGATGTCGGTCTCGTGTGCACAGACAGGGCTGCCTAGTTAACGTCCGTCTGTACAGCAGGCCTGCGCTAAACGCAGCTGCACGCTTCACATGCTCCCCCCCCCCTCCCCCCCGTGCATTCGTGACTACAGAGGGCTTCATAGGAACTTTGAGGTAGCCAGAGTGGCAGTACCAAACGTGCACCCATGGTTACTCATCTGAGTCCTCATGAGAGTTGTGTGCACCTGCAATGCAGGTAGACCAGCCAGGAGGGAGTTGCAGATAGTCTAGGCGTGAGATGACGAGAGCCTGGCCAGACCTGCCGCTGACTTTCTGGGTCAGGATGGGGAGCTCATCCTCCTGATGTTGTAAAGAGTGTATCTGCAGCAGCGGGTTGTAGCAGCGATGTTTGCAGTGAAGGCAGTCTGTTATATAGGATTCCACCGCGATTCCTTTCCGGGCTGAGTCGGGGAAACACAGATGAAGGTGCCCGATGTTGATTGTTAGGTTCAAGAGTGGGGCATCTTTTCCGGAAGGAAAAGCGTTGCAGTCTTATCAAGAGGTTGAGCTGAGGTGTGAGCAGACATCAATTGAGAGTGTTGCTAAGACAAGCAGAGAATGCGTGCGACGACCTGGGTTCTTGAGCGGGGAAAGGGACAGAAATTACTTGAGTGTCTGTCAGCGTACCGTGGTATTGAAAACCATGCGGGGCTAGATGACGATCCGCAAGTTGTGTACAAGGAGAGAAGATGGGACAAGACCAGAGCCCTGAGGGACCCCTGTAGTTATCCAAGGGTCGGACCATCTCCAAGTTACCTGAGCTGCGCTGTTTTGGGTATGACTGTGATAAACATAGCAGCGGAGTGAGAGGCATTTGTAATTGATACATATAAATGCAAAGAATAATTCGTTAACTGAATATAATGACTTGGGGTATTTTTTAGATTAAAGAAAGTTGCTTGATCAGTGTCTTTATGTATCTCTGATCAAACCTAACACCGGATCCATATATTTATTACAGCTTTTGTTG